TCATGTTTATTCTAACTTTTGTTATTAGTGAAATAAAACCAAAATTTGTTAGATTTTACTAATTTTTACGCGTATTTGGGGCCCCCGTGTCCTGGACAAAATAAAACTCTTTAAAATAATAATCTTACATTCCTCTGTATTAATGCAATAATATTTTTCGTAGATTATTGCTGTATTAAATTCATAGCCTAGCAATTACAATATTTAATGTATTGAAATAAAATGAAATTACAATAATTAATGAATATTTGCACTATATCAATGGAACATTGAAAAGATAATCGTTGGAAATGATACTGATTAGTTTTATATTACGGATTAGTTTTATATTATAATTTTTAATCTGCGCATATTATTCATCATATTTGTTCGTGTCCGTTCGTTAGGTGTGGAAGCACCACCTTCGCGTATATAAATCGGGTAAACGTCCCTTTGAGTTCATTTGCAATCAGGGGCGCAAAGTGAAGAGTACACAGTGGTAACAAGTAAACAAGTGATCAGTCATGGAAGATATTGGTAATTTATTTTATTTTATTATATTATATATATATATATATATATTTTATATATATATATAAGGGTTGAATAATAGTTATATATAGTGTTCAATAATCGGGCATAACAACAAAAAAACATGAATTTTTTAAAAAGTCTCTTTTTTACACTGGAATAAGAAAATTGTAAGTACGTTTAGCTTTTTCTAACTTTTGCATTTTTTAATATTTTTTAAGAAATTATAATATTTTTTTACAAAAATTCATGATTTTTATTGATATGTATAGCGTATTTTACATATATAATTTTATTTGAAAACTATTTCTTCGTTTCTATTATCATAGTTTTTATTTTTCTAGCATTCTTAAATAAAATGGGGGCAGCATTAAGGAATTTCTCTCTGGCAAGTGAAATACCAAAAGAAGAGGTGCTGGTGGTGTTGACAGATTGCCATACGGAATCGTATTGGGAGGACAGGCTTGTGTAAGTAAATTAAATCCACTTTTTATTCTTCAGGACATGTGTATAATTAGAACATTTTTATTATTATAGCTCGAGCGGAAAGTCAAGACCGATGAAATTTGGAGAGGTGACATCGGTGAGTTCCTTTCTTGGACACACAGTATTGTTGTGTGGGGTGTCGGAGCATAACCAAGGTATATATTTCTTTTTATGTATATATATATATATATATATATATATATATATATATATATACATGTATATATATACATGTATATATTGGTATAGTTAAAGGATTTTTCATTATAAGTTTTTTTTATATAATAGACTACAAAATGAAGGCAGTTGGATTATGCTTCGACACAATAAAATCGAGGTATAAAAAGGAAGACCGTGTGTTGTCGCTCCTGCCCGTTTCTTTCGAGGACAAGGAAAACGTGGAGGAATTTTTCCTCCATTTTTTCCAAGATGAAAAAATAAAAATATATTGTTATAAAAAGGTAATGTTAAATTTTTATAATAATACATAAACACATAGCAATCAGCTATTATAATATTATTAAATATTATTTTAGTCCGCAGGCGGCGGTACAGGCAGCACCGGCGGCGGTACAGACAGCACCGGCGGCGGTACAGACAGCACCGGCGGCGGTACAGACAGCACCGGCGGCGGTACAGACAGCACCGGCGGCGGTACAGGCAGCACCGGCGGCGGTACATGCAACAACCGCGGCGGTTGGGGCAACTACCGCGGCGGTAAGGGCAAAAACAGCGGCGGTAAGGGCAAAAACGGAGGCGGTAAGGGCAACAACGGAGGAGGCGGTAAGGGCAACAACGGAGGAGGCGGTAAGGGCAACAACGGAGGAGGCGGTACGGGCAACAACGGAGGAGGCGGTACGGGCAACAACGGCGGCGTTAAAGGGAACAACAGCCGCGTAAACAAACGCGGCGGCCGCGGAGGTTACCGCGGAAACAACCGCGGTGGGCAGAAATACCATCGCGGCGGCCAGGGCGCTGATAGTATGATGCAACCGCAAATTCCGATGTACATTAACCAAGGATGTGTAATCAGTTAACATTATAAATAATACATTATATATAAAAGCATAAATTATATTTTTGTCTATTTGTATTTTTTTTACAGGGGTTGAATATATATTTTCAAAATGACTTTGATTAGCATTCTTTCTATTCTTCTTCTATAATAACTAATATATCATATTATACTATCTATAATATATTATCATATATTATTAATATTCATTACTAATTCAGTTAGTGATAAGATAAATGTAAAAAATTTGCCAAATAAATTCTGGCAGACCCGCCACTAACATAACCTCAAGAACGATTGTTGACAATTGCAAAAAGTAGCCTGAAAACGTTGTCGAACTAATATAAAACACAACATTATTACTTTATATTCATAGTTATTTATTAATATTCATCACTAATTCAGTTATTGATAAGATAAATGTAAAAAATTTGCCAAATAAATTCTGGCAGGCCCGCCACTAATTTGTGAAACAAAAAACACAACTTTCACTATGTAGAACTAATATAAAACACAACATTATTACTTTATATTCATAGTTATTTATTAATATTCATCACTAATTCAGTTATTGATAAGATAATTGTAAAAAAATTGCCAAATAATACCGGGCAGACCCGCCACTAACATAACCTCAAGAACGATTGTTGACAATTGCAAAAAGTAGCCTGAAAACGTTGTCGAACTAATATAAAACACAACATTATTACTTTATATTCATAGTTATTTATTAATATTCATCACTGATTCAGTTATTGATAAGATAAATGTAAAAAATTTGCCAAATAAATTCTGGCAGACCCGCCACTAACATAACCTCAAGAACGATTTTTAACAATTGCAAAAAGTAGCCTGAAAACGTTGTCGAACTCATATAAAACACAACATTATTACTTTATATTCATAGTTATTTATTAATATTCATCACTAATTCAGTTATTGATAAGATAAATGTAAAAAAATTGCCAAATAAATTCTGGCAGGCCCGCTACTAACATAACCTCAAGAACGATTTTTAACAATTGCAAAAAGTAGCCTGAAAACGTTGTCGAACTCATATAAAACACAACATTATTAATTTATATTCATAGTTATTTATTTATATTCATCACTGATTCAGTTATTGATAAGATAAATGTAAAAAATTTGCCAAATAAATTCTGGCAGGCCCGCCACTAATTTATGAAACAAAAAACAACTTTCACTATGTAGAACTAATATCAAACACAACATTATTACTTTATATTCATAGTTATTTATTAATATTCATCACTAATTCAGTTATTGATAAGATAAATGTAAAAAATTGCCAAATAAATTCTGGCAGGCCCGCTACTAACATAACCTCAAGAACGATTTTTAACAATTGCAAAAAGTAGCCTGAAAACGTTGTCGAACTCATATAAAACACAACATTATTACTTTATATTCATAGTTATTTATTAATATTCATCACTAATTCAGTTATTGATAAGATAAATGTAAAAAAATTGCCAAATAAATTCTGGCAGGCCCGCTACTAACATAACCTCAAGAACGATTTTTAACAATTGCAAAAAGTAGCCTGAAAACGTTGTCGAACTCATATAAAACACAACATTATTAATTTATATTCATAGTTATTTATTTATATTCATCACTGATTCAGTTATTGATAAGATAAATGTAAAAAATTTGCCAAATAAATTCTGGCAGGCCCGCCACTAATTTATGAAACAAAAAACAACTTTCACTATGTAGAACTAATATCAAACACAACATTATTACTTTATATTCATAGTTATTTATTAATATTCATCACTAATTCAGTTATTGATAAGATAAATGTAAAAAAATTGCCAAATAAATTCTGGCAGGCCCGCTACTAACATAACCTCAAGAACGATTTTTAACAATTGCAAAAAGTAGCCTGAAAACGTTGTCGAACTCATATAAAACACAACATTATTAATTTATATTCATAGTTATTTATTTATATTCATCACTGATTCAGTTATTGATAAGATAAATGTAAAAAATTTGCCAAATAAATTCTGGCAGGCCCGCCACTAATTTATGAAACAAAAAACAACTTTCACTATGTAGAACTAATATCAAACACAACATTATTACTTTATATTCATAGTTATTTATTAATATTCATCACTAATTCAGTTATTGATAAGATAAATGTAAAAAAATTGCCAAATAAATTCTGGCAGGCCCGCTACTAACATAACCTCAAGAACGATTTTTAACAATTGCAAAAAGTAGCCTGAAAACGTTGTCGAACTAATATAAAACACAACATTATTAATTTATATTCATAGTTATTTATTAATATTCATCACTGATTCAGTTATTGATAAGATAAATGTAAAAAATTTGCCAAATAAATTCTGGCAGGCCCGCCACTAATTTGTGAAACAAAAAACACAACTTTCACTATGTAGAACTAATATAAAATACAACATTATTACTTTATATTCATAGTTATTTATTAATATTCATCACTAATTCAGTTATTAATAAGATAAATGTAAAATATGTGCCGAATAAACACTGGCAGGCTCTCGACACTATTTCAACATATCTTCGAACATATTTTGACACGGCAGATCATGTCGGTTGGTATCAATGTACTATGACATATGTAAAAATACTTGATTGTAGGTTAAAGATTTTTATGTCAAACAAAGATAATGCAAAATAAATGAAATTTAATTGAATAAATTATTATATTTTAATCATTTTCATAAAAAAAATTAGAATTTAAATGTTGGCCACGCCTTCGCCGATAGGCCACGCCCACGAAACTGAACCTGCCAGATGTGAGAACCTGCCAACTATATACACGTAAGTAAATGAGGTTACCGGTTGTGAGGATGCCAATTATATACGCGTAAATAATTGATCATATTGAAAATAATTATTGATTAAACTAGATTATTATTTAGCACACAACTATTTTCGTTAATTTTTTCTGAGTGTAAACAGTGTAAATATAAAAATGGCGGAGGAAACAATTATGTCTATGAATGATCAGGCAATTAAAATTGAACCACCAGAATATTCACCAGAAGACATTAAACTCGAAATAGAGGATGGTTTTGATGATCCTGATGTTAAATCTGAATCGTGTTCTGAAGATGGTGATACGTGTTTACAAAGATTCATGAATTCCGAAGTGACAATTGAAGAAGAAGTCAAACAGGAGTTAGTCGAGTCATCAATTTATGAATGTGACATTTGCAATAGATCATTTCCAGAATCAGACCATTTAAAAAAGCATATGGCCGATCATATTCCTAGTAATAGCAAAGAATGTTCTTTCAAATGCGAAGTCTGTTACAAGGCTTTTAATCGATTAAGTAATCTGAAAAGGCACATGCTCATTCACAGTGGTGAGGGCGCCCATGAATGCAATTTATGTAAAAAGACATTCACGCAATCAGGTAGTTTAAAAAATCACATGCTGATACACAGTGGAGTACGTCCCCATGAATGTAATATATGCAATAAGACATTTACAGAAAGAGGTCATCTGAAAAATCACCTGCTGATACACAGTGGAGTACGTCCCCATGAATGCAATATATGCAATAAGACATTCACAGAATTAGGTGGTCTGAAACGACACATGCTGACGCACAGTGGGGTTCGCCCTCATAAATGTGATATTTGTAATAAGTCATTCACACTATCATCTAGTCTGAAAAGTCACATGCTGATACACAGTAGTGTACGTCCTCATGAATGCAATATATGCAAAAAAACATTCAGGCATTTATGTAATCTGAAAAGTCACATGCTTATTCACAGTGGTGAGCGTCCCCATCGATGCAATATATGCAAAAAGACATTCACAGAAAGAGGTCATATGAAAAAACACATGCTGATTCATAAACGAGAGCATTCCTATAAATGTAATAAGGAATTTACTCAATCCAAGGATTTGAAGAGACACATGGCACTTCATAGTCAGAAGCCTGGTGAAGATCAATGAAACATAAGCATATTTGTTTACTTAAATTTAAATATTGTAAATTTTTCTTGCATGTAATGACATGTAGAAATAGTATGAAATATACTGTACACATTACATAGTATAAATATCATTTCATAATTTTTTATTCATAATTAAATTTTTATAAATTAAGTATTATTAATTTGAATTAGTAACCATTGGTTTCAGGTTCAAATACAAATTGGTCAGGAGTAGCTTTAACTTTCTAAGTTTAGAAGTTATTATGAATTTTAAAAAATATCTTTACACATGGCAATATATACCAGAAATATGCCACATTAACTTTATTTTCTTTTTAAATAGAAACGTAATTTTTTTGTTTGAGAAAATATTTTAGAAAATTTATTCAGCTATAACTTTTTCAAAGACTATATTTAGTTATAATAAGTAATTTAAAAGTTATTAGTAAAAACACGAAACAATGTCTTTGTTCCACAAAATGGCCGACACGTTTTCAACATTATGCAAGTTTAAAATTATTTTAAAAATATAAGCAAGAATTTTACATAATCTTTGTCTGAGAAAATGTTTTAGTGAATTTATTCAGCAATAACTTTGTCAAAAACTAGAGTTAGTTATGCAAAGTAATTTAACAGTTATTAATAAAATTCAAAACAATGTCTTTGTACAACAAAATGGCCGAGAAGTTTTCAACAATATGTGAGTTTTAAACATTTTTAGTTATTTTCATAGTATCGCGCAATTACGAGAAGTAGACTCGATTTTATCTTTTATTTTCAACTGTTAATAAGTTTGTTAATGACTACAGAATACTGTAACGTAATTACGGTATATGTTTTTTTTAAATTTTTATTAAAACCCTAATAATTGGGTTTGAAGTGACTACTATTTCGTAAGAAAGTACACGATTTTTTTCACTTATTTGCATTATTCCAATATACCTAGAATATCGTAGTAATGAGATAATCATTTGTTTCTACCTTCTCATCTATGATCAATTATTTCTGTTACATAAATTGAATTCATATTACGGATATTATTTTCATGTAAATTTTATTCTTTGCACTTTTATTTATTTAAATTTATGTTATTATTTATCAATATTACTTGATGTTAATAATTTAGCAGTTGTAATAATTATTGAAAATAAAAAAAAAACATAAATTGAATAAAAATACAGGTAAACCCAGTATTGCCCAGTATAGCGCACGGGTTCACAAGTTTAAATTTTAATATTTATTTCAAGTTTATTTTTTGTTTAATCGACGTTAAAAATTATTCCTTTATTGTTTCATTTATTTGATTTACCGAAACTTTCAGCATTGATAATGATTATTATACTATTACTATAACAATACCAGCCTTTATTAACTTCCCTTAGGGTAAGTTATTGTAATGGGCCGAAAATCGGAATTGAAAATTTTTACATTTCTCGACGTTTTGAAGGTTTCTGAACATTTTGGCATACCTCAGAAAAAATGGATGTGTGTGTGTGTGTGTATGTATGTATGGATACAAATTTTCGCCCACGTTTTCGGGCGTACGGATCAACCGATTTGAAAGGTTCAAAAAACATTCGATTCCTATCGATAGGGAAAAGAGCTGATTAGTTTTTGGCAAAGGCAAGTCCAGCCGTTTCGGAAATACGAAGCAAAGAGTGCAGAAAATAAAAATCGACTTTTTGAGAGAACGGAGTATCCGATTTGAATGATCTAAAAAACATTCAATTAGTAATGATTGGGAGAAGTGTTTAATAGTTTTTGGCAAAGGCAGGTCCTGCCATTTCGAAGATACGGAGCTAAATATATAAAAAATGGCAGTTTCTGAGAGAACTAAGCGTCCGATTTAAATGATTCAAAGAACTTTCTGCTTGTCTTAACAAAATAATTGATTTTGGAAAAAAAAAATTCAACTTTTTTTTTTTTTAATTTTATTTTAATTCTGACTGTAGTTCTAATATACTTTACAAATAATTTCAACTTTGCAATTTAGTTTATATAATTCTTATAAATATTAGACAATGTTACAATATTTATAATAATCTATTTGAAAACATTCAGTATTCCTCGAACATTTCGTTACGGTACGGGAAGTTCCAGCAATTTGCCTTAAGGCACGATGCCATAATTGCCTCAAGACAGAATTCCACTTACAGCTAGTTTTATTTTTATTTTAGAAGTCTTTCAACTTCTTATATTTTCATGATTGTTATAAAACTGAATAAATGTTTAAAATTATATCAAAGTATTATTTTATAATTATTAACCATATTTTTAACTTCCCGAAGGAGAAGTTTATGTTTTCATAAAAAAATCCGATTCGCTAATTTTATGTTTTCTCGACGTTTCAAGCCATTCTGAATCGAATGAGATTTTCCAAATTTGGAAAAAGCATGTGTGTGTGTGAACAGATTTTTTGCCATAAATCGACGTTTTCTCAAAAACGGCTGGACCTATTTCAAAAATTTAAAAGCCATTCGATGTATCTCGATGAGGACTATTGTTTGTCAGTTGTGTGCGACGATTGGCGGGGCCGTTTCTTTGTAAATTGCAGAAAAGTGAAAAAAACTTCGTCCACGTTTCAGCCCGTAATTGTGAATCGATTTTGAAAATTAAAAAACCATTCGATAGATATTGGTTGGGAATCGTGCTGATTAGGTTTTGGCAAAGATCGGCCGGGCCGTTTTCTTCTAATAAATTGTTAGAAATTTTTTTTCGACGATTTCGTAAAAATTCGTCAAAGTTTGAAAAAATTAGTATGATCTTTATTTTGGCATTTGTCAAAATTAGAACTTTCGTCGACGTTTGCTCAAAAACGCCTAGAACCGATTTCAGAAATTTAAAAACCATTTGATGTGTCGACTCGATGAGAATTATCGTTTCTCAGTTTTGTGCAACGATCAGCCATTTCGTTGTAATTTGGAAAAAAGCGTTAAACTTTTCGTCCACTTTTAAGCTCATACTACCGAATCGAATTTTAAAAATCCAAAACTGTTCGAATTTTATTAGTTGGGAATGATACTGATTAATTTTAGGTGAAAATCTACCGAGCCGTTTTCTTGTAGTCATTATAAATCTACTCGGAATACTTTTACTCACTCATAAATTTTTTTTTATTGATTAAGTCAATTATTTACACATATCGGGAAGTTCATGTAACTTGCCTCAACCCCAAATACCAATACCAACTAGTTATAATTTTAATTAGTAGAACAAAGAAATAATAGTTGATCTGGAATAAATAACTTTGAAAATGATTTATCGTTATTCATGCATCATTTGAGAATATAATAATATAATTAATATTCGTTCACACAGTGGATTATGTCAAACAACGCCTAAACAAATATTGTTTTCGCAACTTTTTTGCACTCATCATGTAATTGTGCTTGAAGAACTTCATGTAATTAAAATTAACATACATTCATTGACTGCTTGTATTTTTTAACTTCCCGTAGTAATGGGCCGAAAATCGAAAATGAAAATTTTTGCATTTCTCGACGTTTTGAAGATTTCTGAACATTTTGGCATACCTCAGAAAAAATTGATGTGTGTGTGTGTGTGTTTTGTATGTCCGCATTTTTTCGTCCACGTTTTCGGGCGCACGGATCAACCGATTTGAATGGTTTAAAAAACATTCGATTCCTATTAATAGAGAGATGTGCTGATTAGTTTTTGGCAAAGGCAAGTCCAGCCGTTACGGAGATATGGAGCAAAGAGTGCAGAAAATAGAAATCGAGTTTTTGAAAGAACGGATCAACCGATTTGTATGATCCAAAAAACATTCAGTTCGTAATGACGGGGAAAAGTGGCTATTAGTTTTTGGCAAAGGTAGGCCCAGCGGTTTCGGAGATACAAAGCTAAATGTTAAAAAAAGGCAGTTTTTGAGAGAACTAAGAGTCCGATTTAAATGATTCAAAGAACTTTCTGCTTGTTTCAACAAAATAATTGCTTTGGAAAAAAAATTTTGTTTCTAATTTTTTTTTCAAAAAATATTTTTTTAATTTTTGATTAAGCACTTTTCCAATTTTGTGAAAACTATTGAAAAATGTGAAAATGCCGCCAAGCTAAGCACAGTATAAGTAAAAATGTCGCACAGAATTATTTGAAGAATTATACGGGAGCACTTTTTCAATTTTGTGTAAAATAGGCAACTGTTTATTTTTTTTTTTTTTTGAAATTGAATTCGAGATGAAATGACGATTGTTAATGCTCTGGAGATAAATGGATTTATGATTTACATTTGATTTGCTCAGATATAACAAGATAGCAAAAATATATTTTTATTAACTTCCCGAAGGAGAAGTTTATGTTTTCATCAAAAAACCCGATTCGCTAATTTTATGTTTTCTCGACGTTTCAAGCCATTCTGAATCGAATGAGACCAAATTTGGAAAAAGTATGTGTGTGTGTGTGTGTGTGTATGTGAACAGATTTTTTGCCGTAAATCGACGTTTTCTCGAAAACGGCTGGGTCGATTGCAAAAATTTAAAAGCCATTCGATGTATCTCGACGAGAACTATTGTTTGTCAGTTTTGTGCGACGATCGGCCAAGCCGTTTCTTCATAAATGGCAGAAAAGTGAAAAATTTTTCGTCTACGTTTTAGCCCGCAATTCTGAATCGATTTTGAAAATTCAAAAACCGTTCGAAAGATATTGGTTGGGAATCGTGCTGATTAGTTTTTGGTAGAGATCGGCCGGGCCGTTTTCTTGTAATAAAGTTTTTTAAAAAAAAAATTCGACGATTTTTATGATTATTTTTTTGACGATAGATACCATAGTCTTCTAGATCATACAAAAATATTACGGCGCTACGACAACTGGTTCAGCTTTAAAAATTCGTCAAAGTTTGCAAAAATCAGTATGGTCTTTTTGGCATTTGTCAAAATTAGACTTTTGATCGACGTTTTCTCAAAAACGCCTGAACCGATTTTAGAAATTTAAAAGCCATTTGATGTATTTCGGTGAGGACTATCGTTTGTCAGTTTTGTGCGACGATCTGCCAAGCCGTTTCTTTGTAATTTGAAAAAAACTTTTCGTCCACATTTAAGCTCATCCTACCGAACGATTTTAAAAAATCAAAAACTGTTCGAAAGATATTAGTTGGGAATGGTACTGATTAATTTTAGGTGAAAATCTACCGAGCCGTTTTCTTGTAATTAACTGTTGAAAAAAAATTTAAGCCGATTTTCATGTAAATTTTTTTGGCGATATACATCATGGTCTTATAGAACTTACTGTAATATTACGGCCTAACGACAAGTAGTTTAATTTTAAAAATTCGTCAAAGTTTGCTAAAATTATTATCGTTTTTTTTTAAAGTAGGATTAATGAAGTATATTATTTACACATTTTTTTTATTAAGTCGATTATTTACACATTTCGGGAAGTTCATGTAACTTGCCTCAAGGCTAATAAATACCAAACCAACTAGTTATAATGAAATTTATTATAATGAAAGTTACAGTATTTGTAATAATATATTTGAAAACGTTTAAAATTTTTCGAATTTCCAGCAATTTGCCTTAAGGCACGATGCCATACACCACTAGTTAATTTTAAAATTCATGTATATGGTTCAAACAAATGTCCTCGACATTTTCGACAGTGAAATAACCGATTTGAATAATTTAAAAAACATTTGATTCGTATTGATAAGGAAACGTGCTGATTAGATTTTTGCGAAGACAGATCTAGCCGTTCCGAAGATACGGGGTAAAAAGTGCCAAAAACGGTAACTCAGTTTTTAAGAGGATTTAAACGGAGCGTTCGATTTTAATAATTCGAAAAACATTTTACTTGTATTGATGAAATGAGCAACTGGTAAAATTTTTATTGGATATATGTACATCAAATTATCAGATATTTTATAGAGATCCTAATACTATGCACACATTTCGTGTAAATTTTTTGGGTTCCGTACCAAGATTGTTAATTTTCAAGTTTTTTAACATGGTTCGAACAAATGTCCTCGACATTTTCGACAGTATGGAATAACCGATTTGTATGATTGAAAAATCATTCGGTTCGTACTCGATCGCAAAGCGTTTTTGCAAAAGGCAAAAAAGGTTATGAAGTTTTTGAGAGAACTTTAATCCGATTAGATTAATTCAAAAAACATTTACAGAAAATTTAGTAATTTTGAAAATTAAAAAAAAAACAAAATTTAAAAAAAAAATCAAAGTTTCCAAAAATTCAAATTTTCGAAATTTTTCATCATTTTCAAAAAAAAACTTAATTTTGAAAAAGTTTAAGTTTTAAAGTTTTTTTTTAATTTTTTTTAAAGTTGAATTCACTCCTTCAATAAGAAGTCATATTAATCTAAATTAACATATACATTGATATAATAATCTAAATTAATATATACATTAGACCAAATATAACACAGAACCTTTCTGGGAACTATAAGAGACTGATATGATTCCAAATTTTATTGAACCGATATGGCTTCAAGTATCAAAACGCTTGCTTCCATCTAGTATATTTGTCATTCTCTGAAACACTTTCTTAGACAAAAATATTGTAAAATTTCTGGTTTTATGTTTAATATATTTTTGAAGTTTCTTAATATTGATACATCTAGACTAGAACATTGTGAAGCTTTTTCAATATTTTTATTAATAACTTATAAATTACTTTCTATAACTAATTACAGTCTTTGACAAAGTTATAGCTGACTAAATTCTCTAAAACATTTACTCAGACAATAATATGGTAAATTTACATTCATATTTTTAAAATATTTCCGAAGATTATGTAGTACATTTCTGGATAGTAAATTTAAAAATTTAAGTAAACAAAAATGTTTATATTTCATTGATTTTCACCAGGCTTCTGACTATGAAGTGCCATGTGTCTCTTCAAATCCTTGGATTGAGTAAATTCCTTATTACATTTATAGGAATGCTCTCGTTTATGAATCAGCATGTGTTTTTTCATATGACCTCTTTCTGTGAATGTCTTTTTGCATAGATTGCATTCATGAGGACGTACTCCACTGTGTCTCAGCATGTGATTTTTTAAACTACCTGATTGCGTGAATGTTTTTTTGCATATATCGCATTCATGGGGACGTACACCACTGTGTATCAGCATGTGACTTTTCAGATCACCTTTTCTCATAAATGTCTTTTTGCATATATTACATGCATGGGGACGTAATCCACTGTGTATCAGCATGTGTTTTGTTAGATCACTTGTTCTCATAAATGTCTTTTCGCATATATTGCATTCATGAGGACGTACTCCACTGTGTATCGGCATGTGATTTTTCAAATGACCTAATTGTGTAAATTTCTTATTGCATATATTGCATTCATGGGGACGTACTCCACTATGCATTGGCATGTGACTTTTCAAATGACCTAATTGTGTAAATTTCTTATTGCATATATTGCATTCATAAGGACGTACTCCACTGTGTATCAGCATGTGACTTTCCAGATTACTTGATCTTGTGTATGTCTTGTTGCATATATTGCATTCATAAGGACTTACTCCACCGTGTATCAGCATGTGACTTTTCAGATTACATAAATGTGTAAATGTCTTATTGCATACATTGCATTCATAGGGGCGTATTCCCTTATGAATTACCATGTGTTTTTTTAGATAATTTATTGTTGCGAATGTCTTATTGCATATACTGCATCGATGGGGTCGCTCACCACTGTGAATGAGCATGTGACTTTTCAGATTAGATAATTGTGTGAATCTCTTATTGCACGTACCGCATTTGTGAGGGCGCTCACCACTGTGTATGAGTATGTGGTTTTTTAGTTCATTTAATTGATCAAAATCCTTGTAACAGATTTCGCATTTGAAAGATCTTTCTTTGCTATGCTCTTTTAAATAATTCGATTCTGCAAATGATCTATTGCAAAGGTCAAATTCATAAGTTGTTGTCTCGATTAACTCCTGTTTGACTTCTTCTTCAATTGTCACCTCGGAATTCATAAATCTTTCTAAACACGTGTCATCATCTTCAGAACACGATTCAGATTTAACAGTAACGTCAGGATTATCAAATTCATCCTCCATTTCGAGTTTAATGTCTTCTGGCGAATATTCTGGTGGCTCAATTTTAATTACCTGATTATTCATAGGCATAATTGTTTCCTCCGACATTTTTAAATATTTTCATAAAAAATATATTATAAATAAATTACAACTTAGTTTTCATTACATTTACTATTTGACATTTGAAGCATAGAGAGTATATTTCTAGAAAGATGAGACATTATTTAACGTGGCGCGTCTTTTCAAAATCAATATAGGTTCTCTATGTTTCTACTCTCGCTACTGCTACAAACAAACTCTATGCTTCAAATGTTAAATCATACTCTTCTTTTATCCATGTGTTAAATAATAAAAGTAAATGAGGTTACCGGTTGTGAGGATGCCAATTATATACGCGTAAATAATTGATCATATTGAAAATAATTATTGATTAAACTAGATTATTATTTAGCACACAACTATTTTCGTTAATTTTTTCTGAGTGTAAACAGTGTAAATATAAAAATGGCGGAGGAAACAATTATGTCTATGAATGATCAGGCAATTAAAATTGAACCACCAGAATATTCACCAGAAGACATTAAACTCGAAATAGAGGATGGTTTTGATGATCCTGATGTTAAATCTGAATCGTGTTCTGAAGATGGTGATACGTGTTTACAAAGATTCATGAATTCCGAAGTGACAATTGAAGAAGAAGTCAAACAGGAGTTAGTCGAGTCATCAATTTATGAATGTGACATTTGCAATAGATCATTTCCAGAATCAGACCATTTAAAAAAGCATATGGCCGATCATATTCCTAGTAATAGCAAAGAATGTTCTTTCAAATGCGAAGTCTGTTACAAGGCTTTTAATCGATTAAGTAATCTGAAAAGGCACATGCTCATTCACAGTGGTGAGGGCGCCCATGATTGCAATTTATGTAAAAAGACATTCACGCAATCAGGTAGTTTAAAAAATCACATGCTGATACACAGTGGAGTACGTCCCCATGAATGCAATATATGCAATAAGACATTCACAGAATTAGGTGGTCTGAAACGACACATGCTGACGCACAGTGGGGTTCGCCCTCATAAATGTGATTTTGTAATAAGTCATTCACACTCATCTAGTCTGAAAAGTCACATGCTGATACACAGTAGTGTACGTCCTCATGAATGCAATATATGCAAAAAAACATTCAGGCATTTATGTAATCTGAAAAGTCACATGCTTATTCACAGTGGTGAGCGTCCCCATCGATGCAATATATGCAAAAAGACATTCACAGAAAGAGGTCATATGAAAAACACATGCTGATTCATAAACGAGAGCATTCCTATAAATGTAATAAGGAATTTACTCAATCCAAGGATTTGAAGAGACACATGGCACTTCATAGTCAGAAGCCTGGTGAAGATCAATGAAACATAAGCATATTTGTTTACTTAAATTTAAATATTGTAAATTTTCTTGCATGTAATGACATGTAGAAATAGTATGAAATATACTGTACACATTACATAGTATAAATATCATTTCATAATTTTTTATTCATAATTAATTTTTATAAATTAAGTATTATTAATTTGAATTAGTAACCATTGGTTTCAGGTTCAAATACAAATTGGTCAGGAGTAGCTTTAACTTTCTAAGTTTAGAAGTTATTATGAATTTAAAAAATATCTTTACACATGGCAATATATACCAGAAATATGCCACATTAACTTTATTTTCTTTTTAAATAGAAACGTAATTTTTTTGTTTGAGAAAATATTTAGAAAATTTATTCAGCTATAACTTTTTCAAAGACTATATTTAGTTATAATAAGTATTTAAAAGTTATTAGTAAAAACACGAAACAATGTCTTTGTTCCACAAAATGGCCGACACGTTTTCAACATTATGCAAGTTTAAAATTATTTTAAAATATAAGCAAGAATTTTACATAATCTTTGTCTGAGAAAATGTTTTAGTGAATTTATTCAGCAATAACTTTGTCAAAAACTAGAGTTAGTTATGCAAAGTAATTTAACAGTTATTAATAAAATTCAAAACAATGTCTTTGTACAACAAAATGGCCGAGAAGTTTTCAACAATATGTGAGTTTTAAACATTTTGTTTAGTTATTTTCATAGTATCGCGCAATTACGAGAAGTAGACTCGATTTTATCTTTTATTTTCAACTGTTAATAAGTTTGTTAATGACTACAGAATACTGTAACGTAATTACGGTATATGTTTTTTTTAAATTTTAATAAAACCCTAATAATTGGGTTTGAAGTGACTACTATTTCGTAAGAAAGTACACGATTTTTTTCACTTATTTGCATTATTCCAATATACCTAGAATATCGTAGTAATGAGATAATCATTTGTTTCTACCTTCTCATCTATGATCAATTATTTCTGTTACATAAATTGAATTCATATTACGGATATTATTTTCATGTAAATTTTATTCTTTGCACTTTTATTTATTTAAATTTATGTTATTATTTATCAATATTACTTGATGTTAATAATTTAGCAGTTGTAATAATTATTGAAAATAAAAAAAAAAACATAAATTGAATAAAAATACAGGTAAACCCAGTATTGCCCAGTATAGCGCACGGGTTCACAAGTTTAAATTTTAATATTTATTTCAAGTTTATATTTTTGTTTAATCGACGTTAAAAATTATTTCTTTATTGTTTCATTTATTTGATTTACCGAAACTTTCAGCATTGATAATGATTATTATACTATTACTATAACAATACCAGCCTTTATTAACTTCCCTTAGGGTAAGTTATTGTAATGGGCCGAAAATCGGAATTGAAAATTTTTACATTTCTCGACGTTTTGAAGGTTTCTGAACATTTTGGCATACCTCAGAAAAAATGGATGTGTGTGTGTGTATGTATGTATGGATACAAATTTTCGCCCACGTTTTCGGGCGTACGGATCAACCGATTTGAAAGGTTCAAAAAACATTCGATTCCTATCGATAGGGAAAAGAGCTGATTAGTTTTTGGCAAAGGCAAGTCCAGCCGTTTCGGAAATACGAAGCAAAGAGTGCAGAAAATAAAAATCGACTTTTTGAGAGAACGGAGTATCCGATTTGAATGATCTAAAAAACATTCAATTAGTAATGATTGGGAGAAGTGTTTAATAGTTTTTGGCAAAGGCAGGTCCTGCCATTTCGAAGATACGGAGCTAAATATATAAAAAATGGCAGTTTCTGAGAGAACTAAGCGTCCGATTTAAATGATTCAAAGAACTTTCTGCTTGTCTTAACAAATAATTGATTTTGGAAAAAAAAAATTTCAACTTTTTTTTTTTTTAATTTTATTTAATTCTGACTGTAGTTCTAATATACTTTACAAATAATTTCAACTTTGCTATTTAGTTTATATAATTCTTATAAATATTAGACAATGTTACAATATTTATAATAATCTATTTGAAAACATTCAGTATTCCTCGAACATTTCGTTACGGTACGGGAAGTTCCAGCAATTTGCCTTAAGGCACGATGCCATAATTGCCTCAAGACAGAATTCCACTTACAGCTAGTTTTATTTTTATTTTAGAAGTCTTTCAACTTCTTATATTTTCATGATTGTTATAAAACTGAATAAATGTTTAAAATTATATCAAAGTATTATTTTATAATTATTAACCATATTTTTAAACTTCCCGAAGGAGAAGTTTATGTTTTCATAAAAAAATCCGATTCGCTAATTTTATGTTTTCTCGACGTTTCAAGCCATTCTGAATCGAATGAGATTTTCCAAATTTGGAAAAAGCATGTGTGTGTGTGAACAGATTTTTTGCCATAAATCGACGTTTTCTCAAAAACGGCTGGACCTATTTCAAAAATTTAAAAGCCATTCGATGTATCTCGATGAGGACTATTGTTTGTCAGTTGTGTGCGACGATTGGCGGGGCCGTTTCTTTGTAAATTGCAGAAAAGTGAAAAAAACTTCGTCCACGTTTCAGCCCGTAATTGTGAATCGATTTTGAAAATTAAAAACCATTCGATAGATATTGGTTGGGAATCGTGCTGATTAGGTTTGGCAAAGATCGGCCGGGCCGTTTTCTTCTAATAAATTGTTAGAAAATTTTTTTTCGACGATTTCGTAAAAATTCGTCAAAGTTTGAAAAAATTAGTATGATCTTTATTTTGGCATTTGTCAAAATTAGAACTTTCGTCGACGTTTGCTCAAAAACGCCTAGAAACCGATTTCAGAAATTTAAAAACCATTTGATGTGTCGACTCGATGAGAATTATCGTTTCTCAGTTTTGTGCAACGATCAGCCATTTCGTTGTAATTTGGAAAAAAGCGTTAAACTTTTCGTCCACTTTTAAGCTCATACTACCGAATCGAATTTTAAAAATCCAAAACTGTTCGAATTTTATTAGTTGGGAATGATACTGATTATTTTAGGTGAAAATCTACCGAGCCGTTTTCTTGTAGTCATTATAAATCTACTCGGAATACTTTTACTCACTCATAAATTTTTTTTTTATGATTAAGTCAATTATTTACACATATCGGGAAGTTCATGTAACTTGCCTCAACCCCAAATACCAATACCAACTAGTTATAATTTTAATTAGTAGAACAAAGAAATAATAGTGATCTGGAATAAATAACTTTGAAAATGATTTATCGTTATTCATGCATCATTTGAGAATATAATAATAAATTAATATTCGTTCACACAGTGGATTATGTCAAACAACGCCTAAACAAATATTGTTTTCGCAACTTTTTTGCACTCATCATGTAATTGTGCTTGAAGAACTTCATGTAATTAAATTAACATACATTCATTGACTGCTTGTATTTTTTAACTTCCCGTAGTAATGGGCCGAAAATCGAAATGAAAATTTTTGCATTTCTCGACGTTTTGAAGATTTCTGAACATTTTGGCATACCTCAGAAAAAAGAATTGATGTGTGTGTGTGTGTTTTGTATGTCCGCATTTTTTCGTCCACGTTTTCGGGCGCACGGATCAACCGATTTGAATGGTTTAAAAACATTCGATTCCTTTAATGAGAGATGTGACTGATTAGTTTTTGGCAAAGGCAAGTCCAGCCGTTACGGAGATATGGAGCAAAGAGTGCAGAAAAAGAAATCGAGTTTTTGAAAGAACGGATCAACCGATTTGTATGATCCAAAAA